AACCACCAGCGCCCCCCGAGCCACTAACCTGCGACTCATCGTCGCTAGGAGTGCTCGGATCATCAGAATCATCAGTATCCTCACCCTCACCGGCCATGCCATTCTATGAATTGGAAATTAGTAAAATAAAGTCAAAAAATAGAACTCATAGGAGAAGCGCATACCGAGTGTGCCATGTGCTTGACGACCTGCTCCAAAGCGCCTGCGATCCTGCGCTGCTCAACCAGGATCAAGCTCAGGAAGTCCGCACTAGTCTTGGGAATCTAGGTGGGAACTCCCATAGGGGTACCCGTATGGGCAGCGGTACGGCGGCGGGTCGCGAGCTCGAGATTGAATTAGCGCTGGCAACGCGCAAGCTTGACGCCAGCACCCAGCACAATAGCACTGGTCCTAGGATTGTTGGAATCTGACACAGCAGTGTCATACTTGCCCCGAAGGCGATACAGCTAGTTGAGCTTGCTAACTATATCCCTAGGAACCTACAAAGATGTTAGCAAAAGTCTAAATGTTTAGAAAAACTAAGGGAGAAGTTACAAGGGAGCAACCGCTACAATTGCCCTTAACACAATAGCCACAGCGCTTCTGTTCTAGCTTTTTACAAAGTTTTTTGCCAGTCGCTACGTTCTGTGCGCAGCGCAGGCAAGTCGGCGTGGTAGCCACCTCCAACACGCGCTTGTCGCGCTCGCTCCACTCGTAAGGATCGGCCTTCTTAACGACGGTTTTCGAAATAAACTTAGGAGTAGGATAGAAAACCATTTTGAAGTGCGAGTAGTGTGCGATAAGTGTGCGTTGTATTGTTATGTAGTGTGCAATGCGAAGATGTTGAGCGTGTAAGGGACAGTAGAGGACAACAGCAATATATCACAACAACAACCGTTTGCTATCACCACAAGCGAGCGAAAAATTTTCCGCCTTCACCTCGACAACATAAAAAATTTTCATCACAACAAGGCAACAATATTACAACAAAGCAACAGTCCTTACAACTCTTTCCGTCACATCTCCTCACTGTAGGGTGAGTTGTGAGCCTCATACGGGCTACATAAGAACAACGCAAGAGAGCCGCAAGCGCGACAGACCTAAGGCGCATAGTAGAGGACACTCTTTTCCTACTCTTAAAACAACAAGAGAGGTTTTTATTGAGGCCGCTGCTGTCGAGGACGCCAGACTAGAGGGGGAGGTTCTGTAACGAGGGCTTGAGACACACGTCCCTCAAAGGAGCTAAGTACGCGCTAAACCTGCTTATAAGGCGCGCCTCGCTCTACAGAGCGAGGCAAGGATTATTCTCTTTACAACCTACACCTGTAGTCTGAATATATAAGCTATCTCCCACTGTCTTTAGTAACGTGAAGCAAGCACTATTGCCTACAGTTACGCCTCACAACAAGCTACTGAAAATTAATTAGAGACTGTTAACTGCCTACCACCCACAAACTAATAGCGCTACAGAAAGAATAAACAGCGTCTAGGAGGCCTATATCTGATCCTTTACGAACTAGGCTTAAGACGACTAGGCACGACTCTGCCTAATAGCTTAGATCGCGATTAACAGAAGAAATACAACATCAACAGAGATATTACTATTCTTCCTTTAGCACGGCTATAAAGTAGAGCCTCTACAACTTAAGATAGGCAACAAGAGAAGACTGCGAAAGCCTGCTAAACAGCTTTCAGACAAACAAAAAGCAGCAGAGATCGCGCTTAAGCTACAACAAGCTGTAGAGCTAGCCTAAGCAGAAATAGCAGTCGCCTAGCAAGAATAAGAGAGACAGGCGAATAAGACTTAGAGGGAGGCACAGCGCTACTAAGTAGGCGACAAGGTATAGCTGAAGCTCGATTAGCAATACAGCACAAGGCGAAGCTTAAAGAAGCTCGACTAAAAGAACGCTAAGTACACAGTAGTAAAGGTAATTAACAGTTACTTAGTTAAACTAGACACGCCCCTAGGGCTACACCCTGTCTTTTACGTTAATTAGTTAAAACTTGCTAGCGGCGACCCGCTCCTGAATTAGGTTTAGGACGATTATTAACCACAGCCGCTGCGGGTAGAGAGAGAAGACGAATAGGAAGTAGAAGACGTCGTAGCAGAAGAGGTACGCCGCCGCGGGAGAGGGCGTAAGCTATATTATAAGGTAAAGTAGAAAGGGTTCCACTAAACAACGCTCGAACCAGCGGAGCTACTCGAGGACGCTAAGGCAGTAGATCGTTAGGAAGCATTTACAGAGGCCAAACAAGACAGCGAGGGCCGCCTCCTAGAAGGGTTTTAGAGAGGTGATGTAGTATTACTATAAGGAGGGGGGTATTGTAACGGGCTGAACGCCCTTTAGACAGCTCCTCAATAGAATCTCAGTCTACTCGCAAAATCCAGGTGCTACCTCGAGCACCCAGATTCTCTGCGCATCGTCCGAACGTCGCTCAGACGATGGCCGCAGGACCCAGAAGCTGCCTCGTGCACCTAGACCATACCAGCCCAATTGTTACTCAGGCAACTAGCTTGTATATAGATAACTACGTAGCTAGGAGCTTAGCTCCCTATCGAATACAACCTCTTGTATACCTCGCGATTGCTCTACGGAGCGCAGCCCCTTACAAAGAGATGCTTAAAGTATCTAACTCTAACACTAAGAATAATCTTAGTGCTTAAGAAGTTAGGAATCTTAGGCAATAGGCTTATATTTAAGCACAACAAATAGCTGCTATAATAGATATAATTAATTAGCTTTTAAACTAGCTAATAGCTACTCTTAATAAATAACTTATTACTACTAAGAAGCTTAAAATAGCAGCACCTAAGAAGTTTAGAGGAGACTAAGAGAAATTATAAACGTTTTTTACTTATACTAACCTATACTACAAGTATAATAAAGTCCTTACTAACTAAGAAAAGATCTTTATAGCTAGTATATATATAAAAGATAGAGCCTCTAACTAGATATAACTCTATATAGATAACTACCTACTTAACGCAGAATATAGGAGAACTAAGGTAGAGATATAT